TTATCTTGTCCGCACAGATTGACTTCCAGCCATCTTATTTAAGCGTGATTTTGGTCAACCACAGTAAAAAAATAAAACTAAATGGTAAACTATGTGCTGTTACATTAGTAAACTTTCGTACGCATCAGAGCTATCACCGATTTCAACTGTAAGCATTTTTTTTCATAAGATCGCTTTGCCGTCAAGTGCTTTTTGAATGATCTGGTGACTGCAATTACGCTATACTAATGCCGCAACGTTATAATCTTTCGTATCTCGTATCGTGTTGAGAGAGATACAACGCTTAGCAGGGACTCTACCTTAGGGTTTACAGATTCCATGGCTTAAAAGTTGACGCAAACACTGGCTACCGTATGCAAAAATTAACCGGAAAATATGAAAAATAAATGGAACGAGCCCATCGGAGAAAAGTTTAAAATATCCGGCGCTGAGATTGTTCCGGAGTCGGGGTCACTAATTTAGGGAGTAACCTGTACCGGGAACCTGGAGCAATTAGAAAAGACAGATCGAGTTGCACGGAAATTTTTATTTTTACGGTAAAATATTCCATGTTATCAAGCTGCAAAGGAACGTCACGGTTGTCGCTCTAGCTAAGGGAACGGAGCATGCAGAGCACACAGGGCAGTCGCGAGTTGCAACCGAAACGAGCGCCAAGCAAAAATGGCGATAAGCAAGTCAAGAATTCGAACTCAGTGATCATTTTAACAAACCACACCGGTTGCCTAAGTGTACAATGAAATAATTTTAGTTAGAATTTTACACAGGCAAACCGAGGAATCTCCTGACTGCTACACCTTCTCGCGATACGCACCGGACGCATCTCAGCAACAGCCCCTTATAAGGCCACGCTGTCCCGTTTCCATGGCGAGGTTCAAGATTCGCACCCTAAGACATGTAGATTGTAGGACTAGTTAATACTAGTCCGAGACGGTGCGCGGAATTAAGCGCGGATATCAGAAGGCACTTGGAGTCGGACACAGCGGACTGTATTCGATGGGCTACAACAATAAACGGACGGATGAAGCGAGGCAAGAGCGTACACGTGAGCGCGGGAACTTACAAGGCAGTTGTGTGTCGAGCCGGTTGTAAGATTAAAACAAGAAGGAGTAATGTACAATCGGTCATCAAGTAAATTGTACACGAAAGATAAGAGTTATCTTTTTGGGCGCTACAGAGCTCCCCCCCTAGAAGGCTGAACATAGAAAGCCTTCGAAATCGAAAAGGAATGTTGAAACCAGGTTCGTAAGGCGAAATCGTGCCGAGTAAAAATGGGCGTGCGTTCGTGTAAATGGGGGTTCGTCGGAAGTCGGAGTCCGCTGTGCCGTTTACGATTTGTTATTTATTGCATGCAGGGCAGGGTGCATTTCGGCGAGCCGTTGGAGCGGGCTTGTCGGACTACAAAAAAACTGGCTAGCCCAGAAAAAGGCCGACAGGACCTCAACCTCCGCTGCTGCCAAACGGTGCGCTTGGGAGTGGTCTCTCCCCCCGCCGCACCCCGCCCCGCGCCATAACGACCCTCGTCCCACGAAGAAAACGACCATCGTCCCACGGAGAAGCGACCCTCGTCTCGCGGAGAAGCGATCCTCGTCCCGCGAAGAAGCGATCCTCGTCCCGCGGAGAAGTGACCCTCGTCTCGCGGAGAAGCGATCCTCGTCCCGGGAAGAAGTGATCCTCGTCCCGCGGAGAAGCAATCCTCGTCCCGCGGAGAAGCGACCAATGTTCGCGTCAGGGTCCTCGAAAACATTCCTCGTGTGGGCCAGTCGATCGAAGGGGAGGGTTGGGGCATGTAAAGACGAGAAAATAGAAAAACACGCGCAGAAAACGCCAAAAAGAACAAACGAATGAGCTGCGTGTTTAAATATTTTTTGGTTTTTGAATATTTTTTTCGTTTTAACATTTCGCCCATGGGTTTGGAGACAAACGATACAATCACTGACGTCGTGTCAGCGCCACACTTGGAATACTCTTATTTTTTGTTGAGTCGTCAACTGTGATCGAATTAAGCAACCCTTAGAATTGTCGTTGTTCAGCTTCAGGTTGGTTTAACAACCTCGGTTGGAACTATGTCCCCCATGATCTTTGAAATGACATTCACACACAATTGTCTAGCCGCCTACCAGCCATTGCTGTACTGTGGAGTACGAGTTAGATGATTGCCTCTCTACGACACCATGGGCGACCATATGGAAGTGGAAACCTAATTATTCTATGAAATCGTAGCTTTCCCATGACCTTTAGGTAACGCCAAAAGATAGAGACACTGAAGCGACAACTGATTAACATTTCGCCCATGGGTAGATGGATGCAAACGAACACTCACTGACGTCGTGTCAGTGCCACACTTGGAGTACTCTTATTTTTTGTTGAGTCGTCAACTGTGATCGAATTAAGCAACCTTAGAATTGTCGTTGTTCAGCTTCAGGTTGGTTTAACAACTTCGGTTGGAACTATGTCCCCCATGATCTTTGCAATGGACATTCACACACAATTGCTATCCGCCTACCAGCCATTGCTGTACTGTGGAGTACGAGTTAGATAGTTGCCTGTCTACGCCACCATGGTTAGGCCTCTGAATAAGCCACCATTAGGTAGCCGCCAGTGACCGCCATAGACCGCTACATGTGCTGGTTATTATGTCTATCCACACTGGTTAAATTTTAAGCTTTGGATAGTGTTGGTAGCTAGCATCTCCTCCTTTGACAAGCATCACAATTTACCTATTTGTCGATTTCAGGTTGGAGACCAATCATCGAGTTTTACTCCAGAGGGGCATCAGGGCAGAACGGAAGGTGGTGCTCGACCACTTTCGTTGGACTGTCTGTCTCTTATGCTGGCAGCTTCTAACCGAAGTCCCATTGGTTTACGTCCCATAACCAATGAGAGTGTCAAGGACGCCAAATAAGCGTTTTCCGCCTCGCTAACTTGAAAGTACCGCACGCTATTTCGGAAATGAACTACGCTAACAGCTTGGTACAATACGCTAATATGCGTGTAAAAATGTATATTACCTGAAGAGAAGTACCAGAGCAGGCAGTGGTATTCCTGCTCTGTATTTCTTGGCTCATGTGAGTTTACTTGACGATGATGCTGCGAAAGCCAGTCTCCTGGCCATGCAATATTCGTCTGCTAACTCGATGGAGACGCCGTTTCCCAGTGACGCGATTACAATACTCCCTTCTTCTTTGGAGCATGTAGAAATGAGCGCTGATGTCGTTGCTAAAGGCAGTCGTATATTAGATCCGAACTCCTCGCTAAGTCCTGATGGGTTGCATCCGCTGTTCCTCAGGACTGTGGCCTATTACATTGCCGCTCCCGTTTGGCGGATATTTCGACATTCCCTTGAAGTTGGACGGCTCCCCATCGCTTGGAAAGTGGGGACTGTTAAACCCATACTCGAAGGAGGGGATCGTCAAAACCCTGCCAACTATCGACCCATCTGTTTAACGTCAATATTGTGCAAGGTAATGGAGAGGATTCTCAAGCGGGCACTTCTTTTCCACCTCGAGAACCTTAACATCATCTCTTGTGCGCAGCATATTTTTCGGCGGGCGCGCTAATGTTCTTCGAATCTGCTTGTGGCCCGTGAAAGATGGGCGAAATAATTAGACGCTGGGAAACGTCTGGATGTTATTTTTGTCGACTTTAGCAAGGCATTTGATAAGGTTCCTCATGAAAGACTCCTTTATAAACTACGATTAGTCGGTGTTTCTGGGAACGTTCTCTCTTGCATCGCTGATTTCTTGGATAACCGGACAATGCGAGTCGACGTGAACGAGACTTACTCATCTCCTGTGCTCATGACTAGCGGTGTCCCACAGGGATCGGTCCTGGGTCCAGAACTTTTCAAGATCTTCATCAATGACCTCCCGGCGGCACTTCGGTTTGATTGCTTGATTTACGCTGATGACTTAAAATTGTGGATGGAGGTATCCTGTCTTGACGAGGCGGACCGACTACAGGCTACACTCGATACGTTACATGAGTGGTCAGTCAAATGGCGGTTGCCCATAAATCGCGATAAGTGCTCGGTCCTTCCCATTGGTGCCTCTGAGCCTTTTGGGACGTAACACATCGGTGGGGCGTTGCTCAAAACCTCAATCCTAGAAAAAGACCTCGACGTGTTGGTGTCATCTGATCTACGGACTACACGGGACACGTTACGAAGGGTTGCTACTGCCAACAGGATGTCCCACGCCATACGACGAGCATACTCGCGTTTGACTCCGGATATCTTCCGACTATTGTTTACTTCCCATGTCCGCCCCATTCTCGAATACGGATTACCTACCGTCTTCCCTCTCACCAAGTTCGAATGTGACCTAATTGAGAAGGTGCAACGGCGTGGATCGAAATATATCTTGGAGTTACGGGACTTGCCTTATCCCCGGAGACTTCAGCGGATGAATCTGTTCACCCTGGATTATCGCCGACGTCGCGGTGACCTGATTTTCACTAGGCGTATCCTGAGAGGAGAGGTGGGGAAGGAGCTGCAGGCATGCTTTGAATCCAATCCAAACAGTTCAACTCGAGGCCACAACTGGAAGCTGTTTAAACCCAGAAGACTTCGGATTCATCCTGCTCTCGCTCTATCAACTCGCGTAGTCAACGATTGGAATAACTTGCCGAAGTATGTGGTCGATGCCCAGACTGAGGATTGTTTCAAGCGAATGTTAGACTCTTATCTTTTGAGTACGATGGGTCCTTGCAGCTTCCAGTGTAGTTGTCAAGGTCCCAATTGGATTAGCGCATAACATCGAATCGCGGCCTCCACACAATGATCGGGAAGCGATGGAGCTGACAAAGGATTTCTCCTTCTGCTCTCTACAATCCTATGAACCTATGAATCTATTTACATTAATTACCCAGCTTGCGTTATAGTATCAAAAATTATGTACTTTCATTTGCACTTGCATGTGCAATGCACAGATGTAAGCATGTTTGTGAAATTTGTTTCTGTCAAGTACGGTTAAAGTTCCAGCTAACTATAAAGTTAACATATCCGCTATTCGCAGTTTGTCTGTCCTTTCCTACTTATTCGTGCATCCCCTGCGAACTTGCGGCCGATTCATGCTTGGCCGACTTCCGGCCATCGTTATTGATAATGGAACTGGGTACGCCAACTCTTTGCGCTTACTCTCTAATCCCACCACTTGCTTGTGTTATCTGCCTGGTCCACCCATAACATCCGTTGTTCGGTTGCATGCGATTGTTTCGAGCAGGACTGGAACAATAGGATGATCCCATATGTGTTACTTTTTCAGCGGGTCCTTGTACGAGGAGTTGGCAGACATTGAAATACTGATGGGTCTTAAACAAAGACCGCATCACACACTGTCCAACCAATTAATGCCCACGTATCCTGCCCTAGCAGTCCCTGCTGAGTCGGTTACGTGAAGTAAGGAAAAAGTAAACAGAAGGCAGAATTGAAAGTGAAAAGAGCTAAGCAAGTTGATTACCAAGATAGCTAAGTCATGAAAAAATGAACTGAAAACGTTTTCGTTACTTACAAGTGATAAACCGAATCTTTTATCGTAGGGTCATTCAACACCTGAACGCGTTCATGGATGCATTCAGGTCTTGAATGACCCTACCTGCATTTCATTTGTTAGGAACCTTGTCGCTCATCATTTCAAATGCCCGCTTTTATTTATTATGCTGTCTTCGCTTTGTGAATTCTGCACTATTCCAGTACGCTTCTCTATGCCGTTCTTCACCCTCACGAGATTTTGCTTTCTACTGACAGTTTGGAGACGTTTTACAAGATTATTACCAGAACTTTGATTTTTACTAACTTATCATTTAAACAAATAATTTTGTTCCATCATTTTCCTGCACGTTCCGAGTACTCACCATTAGTTGTCCTTAGTTTTTCGCAGTCGTACCGTAGCTATCCCTTTCATACTTTTTTGTTTAGCCACCCGCTTTTTACCCCATTTTAACCGGTTACTGTTTCTGTGAAAGGGATCTTGGCGTCATTGTGAGCCCAAACCTAAAATTGACAAGATACGCTGAGGAAAGTCACTTCTGCGACGCCTGAAGTCTGCAGGTAATGTGCCGGTGCTAGTGGGTTCGAACGGACAACCACTAAGTTCAAGCACCGAGCGTGCGTCCGCATTAGCGGCGCACTTCGCTTCTGTATTCGCAACTAACCAAACCTGCGCGCCAAGCTCTGCCGTCGCCGCACCGACTGAGCTAACCGACTTGATCTGCGACGTCGCGGAGGTACATGGGCTAGTCAGCTGCCTAGACAGCACGAAGCCAGCTGGACCGGATGGTCTCCATCCGCTGATCCTCAAGTCCTTGTCAGCTGTGATCTCACCTGCTGTAACCGACCTGTTCAACCGATCCCTGTCCGTGGGCTGCGTGCCTTGTGACTGGAAATGCGCCGTTGTCAAACCGATTCCAAAAGGCGGTGACACACGCAAAGTGGAGAATTACCGCCCTATTTGTTTGACCGCAGTGTTGTCGAAAGTTCTGGAGAAGATTGTGAAGAAGAGACTGCTCCAGCTATTGGAGACCAACTCTCTCCTGACGCCTGCACAACATGGTTTCGTGAGAGGCCGCTCGTGCATCACTAACCTGCTGCTAACATGGCATGAATGGTTGCAAGCAGTAAACCAACGTAAGTCAGTCGACGTGGTATACGTCGATTTCAGTAAGGCCTTCGACAGAGTGAATCACGAGATCCTCCTTCAGAAACTGAGGGAGTGCGGAGTCGGAGGCTCGCTGCACCAATGGATCCGTGACTTCTTAGTTGGACGGAAGTGGAGGGTGCAAGTCGACAGCCACCTGACCGACTGGTACCCGTCGACGAGCGGCGTTCCTCAGGGGACGGTGCTTGGCCCCATTCTCTTCCTGATTCACATCAACGACGTGCCCAATCTCCTTCGGTCGCCGTGTGCCTTGTTCGCGGATGACCTGAAGCTATGGAGGGTGATCCATACGTCGGACGACTTTGACATACTTCAGCAGGACCTCGACCGCCTCTCCATGTGGTCCGCCGAAGTAAGTTTGCCTATCAACTCGGCAAAATCGCTACTTCTGTGCCTCGGTAAAGGTGGAGCGGGCCGATCGTACACTCTCGACAGCCAAGTTCTACACCCGACGCATTGCGTCAGAGACCTTGGCGTTATACAACGTTACGACATGAAGTCACTGGACAACACGGACAATACGTATCGCACAGCATTGCGTTCGCTGTGGGCGCTGAAGCGTAGCTTCTGCACCTGGTCGAAAGAGATTGCCACTCGTCTCTTCACATCCATTGTACGACCGGTGCTAGAATACGGCTCACCCGCCTACTGTCCGTTGACGAAAGGCGAGATACACAAGCTCGAAAGAGTACAACACATAGCCACACGGCTCATTCCCGGCCTTCAGGGTGTGCCGTATGAAGAAAGATGCAGACAATTGGGTCTGTATACTCTAGCCTACCGCCGCGTGCGAGTGGACCTCATCATGACCCATCGGGTATTGCATCTGGGTGCTTATCCGATGCTGAGGCCACTGCTCCATGTCCGTGCGTCAAGCAGCACACGAGGTCACCAGTACAAACTGGTAGTCCCTGACCTCAAGTGGGTAGCTCATCCCTTGTGTCTTGAGCGGCGAGTGGTGAACATGTGGAACCGTTTGCCCTCGCGGATAGTAGAAGCGAACTCGGTGTCGGAATTCAAACGATTCCTGGACGCGCACTTTGTGGATGCCAGATTCGACGAAGCCTTCACAGGAAACTGACGAAGGAATCGTTCAATGATTATAACCCATGGAGCCCGTAATCCACCAACTGCAGCTTCCGAAACGATGCCCATCCGTAATAGGCGGCGGAGCTGGTGAAGGACTCCATGTGGTTCATCCAAGAATATATGGTAAGTACATGGAGATTTTTTCTATGCTTGTAAATATTTTACTTTTTTCACCTGGGCTAGCTCACTACTACAGGTAACACTGTGTCAGTGGGACATGTCCTACATTGAGATATAGCTACATAGATGTTCAACATCTTTCTCGCTATCATGACAGTATCAGTATCAGTATCAGGATATTTTTTGCCATACGACGATCCTTCTCCCACTTAACCCCAGAGATGTTGAAACGTGTTCATTGCTCATATACGTCCGCTTCTTGAGTATGGACTGCCCACTGTCTGTCTTTCCAAATTCCTATGCAACCTGATTGGACGTATTCAACGGCTGGGATCTAAGTCCACCCTGTGGTACTTCCTTACTTTCTTCGTCTCCAGCACCTAACTAATTCTTCTTAGCTTATCGTCGACGTCGCTTTGATTTAGTTTTTACACGATGCATCGTTAGTTGTGAGCTTGGAGCTGAACAGCTGGATTTTCAACTCCATTCCGCCAATTCGATACGGGGTCGCCGTTGGAAACTTTAACTAGAGGAGATTTCAGGTCCGTTGCGATGTCACTCTGCCTACTAGACTAGTGAACGAGTGGAAATATCTACCTGTGTATGTCGATGTATCAAACTTCGTTTGGATTCTCTTTTGCTCAGTAAACTCGGATCTTGTTGCTTCTTGTGTCAATACAACGGGTCCATTGGTACCGACTTGCAATGTCCACCTTGATCCTTGTGACGAACGGGAGGCGATGCAGCTGACAAAGGGTTCTTTCTTCTGGTCTCTACATTCTAATGATCCAGCAGGTAACCGCACATGTGTAGCGACCTGGTGATTTACCTGTTTGTTTGGATACGATATGCACAATATCTTACTAATAGTTTAACTGGTATGTAGGCAAAGTGGAAGGCTTGCTTTTTGGAATGTTGGATACGTGTGTTGTAGTCAAACAGAAGAATCACAAGTAACGCGCTTCCATCTTTCCGCTTCGATTGATGGCGTCTGCGGGGACGACCACTTTTTCTTCCTAGGTAGAACCATTTACGGTGCCTTTTAGCTAGCGGCACTGTACATTTCGACAATTAGCTCATATCTGGTTTACTCGTTTTTTTGCGACTTTTCCCCAAACCTGGTCCAACTTGGATTTATGGTGGCCGATCGGTTGCGCTTCATATCCGCTTTACCTTTTTGTTGCTTCTAAACTGTTTTGAATTATCTTGTCTGATGCACAGAATGGTGACGCGTGTTTTCGGCTGCATTGGCCACCTAATCTACTGCGGTATTTGACAACGAGCTGCACAAAGCATGTGACGGTCGATTCTGGTGGCATGCGGTGCTGTAGTAATGATATATGTTCCTCGCTCCTTTGAGTTTAAACGGCCGTATGTGTTAATCTATTTTCGGCTTTTTTATGACTCCAATTGGAATACTATGACTAGGCTTGTACACCGTATATTATAAGGGACAAAATGGAAATGATGATGGTTTCCCGAGTGGACAATAGCTTTGTGCAGAGTTTATAGAGACAGGCGCATCCCTAACTAATGCCTAGTTTTGGATTGTGCTCAATGCACTATAGGAGACTTAAAGAACACTTGATCTCACCATATTTTGGTGGGAAAGATTGGTACAGCTTTGTCCTTGCTGTTTAGTGCAGCTAACTGTTGGAATTGCCCAGACCGCGTTTTGGCCTGGGTTAGGACAGAAACTTGTTTAGCACGCCGTTATTGAGCGCTGGAACTCGCTTTCAGTGCACCTGGTTAGTGAATATACGGGGGCGTTCTGAGTGTCAGCTAGATACTTTGGGTAGGAATACCGAACCTTACTTTCCTTCTAACCGCCTTGTATATTCCGCTTTTCATCGTTCTTTCTTCATTTCCTCTCATGCTTTGGTATTATCGCTATTTAGTTACCATTCCTAATCTTACCCTTTGAGTATTCCATTTATTCTTTGTTACTTTACGTAACCTGCGCGACGAATTGTGCGTCAGGATTTGTAGGCATTAACTGGTTGCGCATGCTGTGATGTGACTTGTTTTAGGTCTCTCGTAATCTCAGTTCGCGCTTCGATTCCAGGTCCATCGACATGCAAAACATTCTTGGGGTTGCCTTGTTGTTCCTATTGATAATCACTTCTTCCAGTTCTTTAAACTAAAGGCTGATTGGATTGCTTCAGCTTTTAAAAAAGTAAGACAGAGCACATTACCCTGAGAAACCATTTGATGCTTCATATCACGCACATTCGTCACGGCGTAATAAT